CTTGAGAATTGTTTAGAAAATTTAGACAAAGTACTACTGCGTTTTGAAAAATCAAATCTTGTCCTCAATTGGGAAAAATGTCACTTTATGGTGACTGAAGGGATTGTGCTAGGCCATAAAATTTTCAAAGAGGGCATGCAGGTAGACCGAGCCAAGGTTGAGGTGATTGAGAAGCTACCACCACCGAAGGATGTTAGAGCTTTGCGGAGTTTCCTTGGACACGCTGGCTTCTATAGGCGTTTTATTAAGGATTTTTTTTTTTTTAAATGGCTCTTCCTTTGTTTAAATTACTTTATAAAGATGTTATGTTTGATTTTTCAGATCAATGTATGCAGGCGTTCAATAAGCTGAAAGAGGCTTTGATTACAGCTCCTATAATGCAGCCCCCGGATTGGAGTTTACCATTTGAAATTATGTGCGACGCAAGTGGCTCGGCTGTTGGAGCAGTGCTTGGGCAGCGGAAGGACAAAAGACTGCATGTTATGCGAGTCAAGCACTTAATCAAGCCCAGAAAAATTACACAGTCACTGAGAAGGAACTCCTTTCGATTGTTTTTGCATGTGAAAAATTTTGACCTTATTTAATTGGTCCGAAAACAATAATTTTCACTGACCATGCTGCTGTGAGGTATTTGTTTTCAAAGAAAGATGCGAAACCACGTTTAATTCGTTGGGTGTTATTATTAAAGGAGTTCAACTTGGAGATTAGGGACCGGAAAGGAGTCGACAACCCCGTAGCAGACCATCTTTCAAGATTGACATCAGCCAGTGATGATGGATCAAAAATTTAGATGAAAGGTTGTATTCTATAGAATATTTGAAACTGGACCCATGGTACGCTGATTTAGTTAATTACTTAGCATGTGACATAATGCCTACATATTTGAAATGGAATAGCCAAAAGAAAAAAAATTCAAAACATGATGCTAAGTACTATATTTGGGATGAACTGTTTCTTTTTAGAATATGTGCAGACCAAGTAATTAGGCAATGCATCCCGGATCATGAGGTTTTGAAGGTGCTACAAGCATTCCATGAAGGACTTGGAGGAGGCCACGTGGGGCCAAACCGAACAGCTCATAAGGTACTTGAGTGTGGATTTTATTGGCCTTTGATTTATAAAAATGCTCGTAACTTTGTCTAAAAGTGTGATGTTTGCCAACGTACGGGAAATATTTCTCGTAGAGATGAGATGCCCCTAAAAGGCATACTTGAGGTTGAATTATTCGATCTTTGGAGCATCGATTTCATGGGACCTTTTCCACCATCAAATGGCAAGAAATATATTTTGGTTGCTGTTGAGTATGTATCAAAATGGGTTGAGACAAATGCATGTTCTGCCAATGACTCAAAACAAGTAATAAAATTCTTGAAAAAAAATATTTTTACTCTTTTTGGAGTGCCCCGAGCCATTATTACTGATGGTGGTTCCCATTTTTGTAACCAATTACTTAACTAGTTGCTTGCAAGCAGGGGCGGAACTACATGGGGGCTAGGGGGGTCAATGGGGGCTAGGGGGGTCAACTGACCCCAACCCTTCAAATATATGTATTTTTTATGCAAAAAATAATAAAATTATGTATTTTATAGTAATTTGCCCCTCCTAATTTTTTATCTTGTAACGTAAAAAACCATAAAAATTTTATTCGTTTGTTAATTTATACTTTTAGTCTTTAAATTTTATCTTTTATAGTAAGAAAATATTAAATTTTATGTAATTTTGTTGAATTTTTTTTCTAAAACATTTAAAGTTTCTATTTTTTTTATTTTTTTTACAGAGTGTACTATGAATAAAAAAACAACAAAATTGAATCGATAAAAAAGAAAAAATCTATTTTGCCCCTCCGAACATTTACTGCTGGTTCCGTCACTGCTTGCAAGATTTAACGTGCATCACAGGGACACGACACCTTATCATCCGCAAGCCAACGGTCAAGTCGAGGTATCAAATAGAGAATTGAAAAAGATTCTTTAAGCCATTGTTGGTAAGTCTAGGAAAGAGTGGGCTGTAAAATTGGATGAAGCTTTGTGGGCTTATCGGACAGCCTCTAAAACTCCTATCGATATGTCTCCTTTTAAATTAGTTTATGGTAAGTCATGTCATTTACCACTCGAGCTTGAGCATAAATCTTCCTGGGCATTAAAAAAGTTAAATTTTGATTTTAAGGATGCTCAACAAAAGAGAAGATTGGATTTGAATGAGCTAGATGAGATTCACCTTAGTGCTTATGAAAAGGCAAAAAATTATAAGGAGAGAACTAAGAAATATCATGATAAATTGATTAAACCAAGGAACCTGGACAGAAGGTATTATTATTTAATTCTTGTTTCAAGATTTTTCCAGGGAAATTAAAAACCAAGTGGTCGGGGCCATTTAAAGTATCGCAGGTACTTGAATCAGGAGCAATTGTCCACCAAGCTGATGATGGAAGGGAGTTTACAGTAAATGGACAGCGAGTTAAGCACTATTTTGGTGATGAAGTTCGGAGGATCGACCTAATATTGATGACACCACCCATCGATTGATCAATTTGATTTAATCACATTGCTAAATATCTCATTTCGCGCTGTTTTTGTTGTAAATTTTGTACATGCTGTAAATTTATTTTTTTATTTATTTATTTTGTAGGTTTTAGTGTTGTTGGTAAGTGCATGCAAAGTAGAAGTCTCCATACACCCTTGGCAATGGTCGGGCTAGAAAACTATGGTTAGATTCACTATCCACCGATAATTGTTCAATTTTCGACTTGTTGCAAGGCACTAGCAATGTATCAGGTGACATCTATTCATGGTCTATTTCTTAAGTTTTGGTAAGGATGTTTTTAATTTGTTTATGTTAGACATGTACATTTTAGTAAAGGTTTAGGAAGGCTTATAGAAATGCATGCTATTATGTTTAGGAAGGCTTATAGAAATGCATGCATGCTATTTTGTTTAGGAAGGCTTGTAGCAAGGCACTAGCAATGTATCAAGTGACATCTATTCATGGTCTATTTCTTAAGTTTTGGTAAGGATG